TCTCCAACATAAAATCTTGGGAGATGATAACGATCACTTGACTTGATGTTTTTATTGATTGCAATGGAAATTATAGAGAAAAATGGAATGAGTATGAGTACAAGTGATAGTATTCTACTAAGTCTCGTGTGTAGCGTGATGAATACAAGTGTTTTTGTAACACCCCAAAAATCATGATATAAAATTTTTTGTTGTTGGATTAATAAATCGTTAATACATGTCTTTCCCATAAAAACTAGAGTAATTAAGTTTTAACAAAACATTGATAAATCAGAGTAATTCACCAAAAACAGAAACATGTGGTGTGTGCTCTGCAATCATCCCGAGTCCTTCCATTTGAAAACCAGAATACCTGAAACATAAATTGAAAACCGTAAGCACAAAGCTTACTAGTTCCCAAGAATACCATATAACATACTACCACATAATATCATGCAACATACATACAATTTCCATGGGCTCCCCCATTGTCTTGACCATAAAATATCATGCAACATACATACAGTTGCCATGGGCTCTCCCATGGTCTTGACCACAGATTATCATGCAACATACATAAAGTTGCCATGGGCTCCCCCACATGGTATGATATCCAAGTGCCATGGGCTCCCCTATGGTCTTTACCTGAAATGCTATGGGCTCCCCCACATGGTCTGACATCCAAGTGCCACGAGCTTCCCCTGGGTTCTTCCATGCAAGTATCACAGAGACAACTAGCATACCACATAACACGTAATAGGCCAACATTGGTACCTTCGACCCATGAATATAGTGAGGAGACTCATCTCACACTGCCGAATCATACAGACAAACCCCGACTGCTGGCTGACAGATCCCCGAACTGTTAATCATCAAAATAACACCCAATTAACAGTTGGGTGCCAAAGCAAAACCATAAACCCATACTTAGGGTAAAAGACTATTTTATCCCTAACCTAGATTGGTCCAAAACCATGGCCTAAACTCAAACTCAGGAGGCTCAAAAGCCAATTAACCAACCAAGGCCCAAATATGGCCTAATTTTCCAAATTAGGACCAAACCCCTTACATGGGTCTTACCCTAAAGCCCATCCAAATATCCTAGTCCATACACTTGTTCTCAGATGGTCCAACAAGAATCCAAACACCTAAGCTCAAAAGAAAGGCCCAAATCGAAGCCCAAACATGGTTAGTAGAGTTAAGTAAAAACACTTAACTCATTAAGGACTTAATCCATTAAGTCCATCGCTTCGATAAGTCAATCATACAATATGGTCGGGTACAAGTCATAATTCCAATCCAACGGTCCAAAACGCGGGTCCTAAAAAATCTCATGCTAAAGTCTTCAAAATTAGGGTTTTCTAAACCCTAATTAGAGTTTCCAACCCAAGCGCATGGCACAAGGTCCAAAGTTAAGTTTTTAGTCAATTAGGGTTTCACTAGGACGGACACCACCCACTGCCACCTCAGGCAGTGGTAGTTGACGGTGGCTCATGGAGGCAGACACCACCTCGCGGCGGTGGTGGTGGTTTTTGAGTTAAAATCCGGCATCAAGCAACCAACACGTTAATTTATGCAGAAAATCACACACACACACACATTAGCTCATGCACACAACCACCCAACATGACGGCTGGTGGGGTGGTAGAAAAAGTAAAAATGGTGGCAGCCACCATGGTTGGCTGTTATGGTGGTCCTCTTGCTTTCCATCGACACAAAACACCCATACATACATACAATATTACTGGATTCTGTAGAGTACATACACATACGAGACGCATAACCAAATAAAGACTTCCACACGCAAACAGAGCCCCAACAGCGGCAGGGAGACGGCCGAAACAACGGACCGATTAGCAACCTAAGGAAACAACGCCATTTACGGTGTAACGTCATAAATTCCGAAACCAAAAATTTTTCATTTTTACAATCATCAAAACATTGAGTAATAAGTTTAGGTTCCAATGTAACAATTTAGTCACGACCGATTACATAACAAAAGATCACAAAATGGTTTCCCCGAGTGTGTGTACGATCACGCCGGCGCCTTCCCACGGTCCTCGCTAGTACCTGAAACACATAACACAACCACTGTAAGCATAAATGCTTAGTGAGTTCCCCAAAATACAACCTACGCACGTACGCCTTTCCAGGCCTTGACCTTCCGGTCCATGTGTCTCAGGGGACTTCCGTCCCGACTGGGTAAACCTTCCGGTCCTACCCACGTCAACCTTACGGTCCATATGACCACGCCTTCCGGCCCATAACATGTTGCCTTCCGGCCCAAATCAAGCATATCATACATGGCACATATAACGAATAACTTATCACACATAAGACATATATCTCATATCATATTCGACCTTCCGGTCACACAGTCAAACCCTTCCGGGTACAGTATAGTGAGAAGACTCACCTCGTATGCCTCGCTAATCGTGAACCCTGGAATCACTCGTGCTCGAACCCTCGAGCTGTAATCCTCCTATGATATCATGAATCTATAATTATTACTTGTACCACT